GCCTCGGCGAGTGGTGGTGCGCGCACCGCGTGTCGTGACAGCGCGCCTTCCACCTCGCTCGCTGCACTCATTATCTACATACATACAAACAACTTAAGACGTTATTTATTGATTATTTTTTTAACGCTATTTTTTTCATTCTTTAGCCAGGTGTAAAGATAAAAGGTACAGACAAAAATTGACTCCTATTCATCTTAAAATAACTATTATTTAAGTACATAAATAAGAGAGTATGGTTAATATGTAATTGATGCTTTGATATTATTAACGTGTTTGCGTGTTTTTGTACCTCGTTGTTGGCGGTGCGCCAGCCGGGCACAGCGGCGCGCTCCCCCAGCGCGACCCGCTTGGCGAGGCGCACAGCGGGCGGGATGCTGGCCTGCAGCCGCTGTTGGGCCGCCGCCAGCGCGCGCCCGAACTCCCTGTCCTCCGTGTTCTCGCACTCCGCCCCGCCCACCAGCAGCACGCGATTTGCCAACCTGTATACATATATAATATATATATATATATTATATAATACTTCTTACTAATATTATAAATGCGAATGTTTGTTACAACGTATCTCCAGAATAGCTCAACGAATCTTGCTGAAATTTGGTATAGATTCTACATTTATGTTCTAACATAGTCTGACACAACACATAGGCTACTAAGTTTTATTTAACTCCGTGTGGACGAAGTCGCGGGCGACAACTAGTGGCCTATGTTTATTGAAATCTGTTTAATTATTAAGTAGTCAATTGTGAGAGAAATCGAGTGTTTACCTGGCGATGGCAGAAGTGTTATCGACCATCTTCTGCGCGTCGTTGTTGCGTATCGCATCCTCACAGAGGTATGTGTGTTTCTGCATTAGTTCGCCTGCAAATTAAATAAAAATCTAGATTTTCTAGTATTTCCTGGTTAAGAAGAATTGGAACAATGGGTATATCTAAACTTACCAGCAGTTCTCACGAAGTCCAAAGGATCGACGGCTTGGTCGCACAAATCTCTTACGCGCAGGACCGCGTCTGCGTATTGATTCTTCAAGTTGTTGAAGTGCTCTTCAGCCACCTTAAACAAATTAAACCTTAATAACTAACCCTTATAGATAACATTTAATTATCTTTATGTTATTTTGAAATAAAAGGAGTTGGCGCAACTTAGTTACAAGCTTTTATCTAAAAGTTATAGCTAGATGGCGTTTGTATCAAATTAAAACACGGTGGTGAATTACATTTTGCCGAGATATTGCTCGTCTAAACATAAAAACCGCATGATTACTAAGAAAAATGATATGATTACTTGTAATGTTAAATGTCAAGTCTCACCTTACTGTCAGGATAGTGTAGTCGAATTTTCCCAGCTGCGATAAGTTGCGGCGATAATTTTTCCACCTAAAAGAAAACAACTTTGTTATATCGCAAGGTGACCACCTAAATTCTTCGAAATAACGAAGTCTTTAATCGAGGAAGCAGGGGACGTACCGAAAGGTGAAATACCCTTTCCTATGCGCTCCCTCCTTCATTAAACCCATTTCTATTTTCCATCATTTTTTTATTAGAAATGGGCGGTATTGGAAAGGCAAATAGTGTAATTATTTATCAACACCTAATTAAGTTAAGCACTGGTCAATTTTTTTAGTTCCTTCCTAAAACGTGTCACCTACGTGTGTTCTTAAAACTTAACATATATGTTGTGGGCGGGGCTTGCATTCAGTCCGCCTACATACGCTCGGTGTAAAGTTACAATTGGAGTGATATATCGTTAAGGTGAGAGGGTGTCATGTTGCGTGTCAGTATGACCTCTCTCTTGTTGTGCAGCAGCTGGTCAGCGAGGCGCTTGTCATGTGCGGCGGCCGCCACCACGCCTGCTGCTGCGGCTGCGCGCGCACTGAACGCCTGCAGCGCGCTCGCTCGCTCCAGGAAGTTGGCCTCGCGACCTGCACTACCTGAGTACGTAACACACTAATATTATTCATATTATAAATGCAAATGTATGGATGGATGTTTCTTAATAAGTATCTTCAAAACGGCTTAACGGATTTCTATAAAATTTGGTATGGATACAGAACACAATCAGGAAGGATGATGATGATATGGAACTCAACAACACTAATTGTCGTACTTAAATGCGTTAAGTCATCGCTTTAAGGGTTATAGCCCTTGACGATTTACGATCGAGTGTCGCAATAAATTCTTAACTCAATTTGAATAGTCGATTAACACATATCCACAAATTTTGTGTAAGAAGTGACAGAGTCCGATACCTTCAGGAGCATTAACAGCATCAGCAAAGTGCCTGAGCGGTGCAGCCACGTCGATGAAGTCTTCCACCACGCGGTTGACTACAGCTCGCTCCATGCCGCGCTTCAGCTCGTGCAGCTTGTCCGATAGCTCCCTGGAAACACCACTCACAGATGTTCTTACTTCGGCAAACCCTTAGTGTACCATTACTCATGCTATACGCACACTTTTGTGAACTATTTATAAATTGGTCCTTCGAGCAGGACATTTTTAAAAGCTCGTTGGGAGCTATAGAATTGAAACAGCTTTTACATTATCTCTTTTCCTTCCCACCTTAAAGGAAAGTATGGGAAGGGAAGGTGGATTTGTCGGAAGACAGGACACGTAAAAATTATCCTCTTTCTATATGCTACCTCCTCTTTCGATTAAAGGTAGGTAACCGCAAAAGGTATCCGCAGTTGTCTAAGTCGCTTCGCTTCGGTATTTTGGCAAATTCAGGGACCTGTTGCTCCTAATATACCTGGTGATGGCCCTGGCCTCGTCCGAGTTTGCGAGCCCGCTGGCGCACAAGTCTGCAAGCTTGTCCGAGAGCCGCTGCACTTCGCCGCACAGCTGCAGCACTTCCGCCTTCTCCCGACCCTGCAGCCCCTCCGCGATCTGGTATACAGGTGTTCAACATTACTTATTATACAGGATGTTCATTGTTACTTATTACACAGAAGTTAAAAAATTTGTTTTTAATTTAATAAAGTCGGGCAGTGTATAAAGTTGGGACAGTAATAAATAGTAACCCTGTGCCCCTGTGCGACGACGCTGGCGATGGCGCGCTGCCCCTCCGCGCGTGTGTGCGCCTCCGCTCCCGGCTGCACCAGCCACTTGTGTGCGCTCTCCAGTCTATACATACACACACACACACACACATCATACAGTACATACAACATTTTATAAACCCAATACAAAATTATATATATATATTTAACTAATAATCACCGTCTCTTTGAAAATAACTCATAATAAAAAATGGTTTTTTTTCTTGTTTTATTACTAAAAATAGCTTTACACAATTCTTCTTTATATAAGCTGTATCAAAATGTGCTTTGATCGTCACCCAGTTCCATGTGAACGAGTTGGAACTCAGACATAGAAACATACCTGGACTGTATGGTCTTTCCCCCCTGCTTCTCCGCCACCCTCACCCCCTCGTTCACTATCCCTTCCACCTCGTTTAGTTGACCGCGCAGCTCCGACGCCAGGTTTAAAGCCTGAACAAAATATTAAACGATTTAACAAGAAATCCAATATTCAATCTTTACTGGTCACTGATGAACAAAAATAATTCAAAATTAGATGAAAATTTGAAAAGAACACGCTGTATATGATTTTTCACAAACCGAAAACATTTATGTACATCAAATATCAAAACACGTGTTGAAAACTGAGCAAACTGTTTGAGAATGCGAATTTGTTTAAAATAATCCCAAAGTAGAGCCACTTTGAAACTGACAGAAATAGAACTGTATCAATGAACTAGAAAAATGTTTATATACCCTCATTCATTCACTACTCGATGTTAAAACTACGGTAGCTGGATATATATGTTCCAATAATATCAAAGTAAGTAGTTTTTGGTGTGAGAATATAATATAGTTTACCTTGGTCTCCCTGCCGCGGCCGAACTGTCTCTCGTCACACAAGTGGTCCGCGTTGATACCTCCAGACCTACATACAAGACATATAAAGATTAATAGTGTATAAATATACATGTGTATTTAATATAACATTGATATTTTTGGAGAGTTAGTTTTAGTGCTCGGAAACCTAATATTAGTTCTTTTTCCATCTCCACCCTTTTTTTTAACTGAATTATGAGAAAAAAGAAAATTTTCCCTTTCCTAAAGGTAAGCACACAAAGAGATAGTATTTGTGTGCGTTTTCTTCTCCGTCAATAAAGACACCGCTCTGTTATGAATTAAACAGAAAAATGGAATATGTGAAGATGCTTCGCTATTTGGGCGAAATCAGGTGACCGTTTGCTCGTTGGTTAATGTGACTATGTCACGTGCACGTACAGATGTGCGCGTGTACCTGACGTTGCGACGCAGAGTGTCGCTGAGGTCTGTGGCGAGGTGGTCGGCGGCGCGCTGCGCTGACGTCAGCACGGACCTCAGTGCGCGCTCTCCCCCGCTGTTGCGGAGCGCTGACGAGTCCTGTCAGATAATTCATCGTGTTAAATAACTAATGGTACATTCGCAAAGAATTTAAAAAAAGCTAACAATATGGTCGCATACATCAGCCACATTCCCGTTTAAGTCCTATCAGAGTCCGCCCACCAATTCCAGATATTTCCCTGGACAAAGTTGGCCTTGGAAACAGACATACAAACCAAAAATCTAAAAATTAGTTTTTACCATCTCCTACACATATACATACATAAACACTGTCAATTTTATTATTAAATATTCATCATAGATGGCGCTACAAGCTACAACCTACAAAAAGATTACTTATTTAATTATTTTGATAATAAATAGTGTAATAACATCAAAGCTACAGTGTTAAGTTAATTTGAATATGTATCCAACAAAACGTATTCATACTGCAATGTATAAAGTTATACAAACGTTAAGAAACTCATGTGCGGTGCCCATCTTGGTATGTATCTGTGTCTGGAGCGCCTTCAGCAGCGCCACATTCTCCTTCTCCCCACCGTCCTCAATGTATGAAGTCAGCTGCAGCACTCTGATCACAACAAATTATATTAAATACAAGTTATAAATCTTTATTTCTATAATTACATATAGTTTTAAATCTATATAAAATAAAATATTAAAAAACGAATAATTAACTAAAATATGTTATTAAAAGGAGTCCCTTTAGACAAGGTCCCGAAGATACTGGCAGCGTTCCCCCTTTGGACAGCTAAACTAATTCTTTGACCGAGGTAGCTGCCAGCTCTTCGGTCCCCTGTGATGTCGATTAGTTTTTTTTGGAAATGTCCTTAAAAACTATACTAAAGTTATAAAACTGTACTATAAAATATCACTATGGCTTTAGAAATTAACTTTTTTTTTCAAAAGACAATTTAAGAGAAAAAAAATACATTAGGTGGAAAACAAGATATTAAACAAGACCTATAGTGTATCTAGTAAAAAAATCATTTAGAATTGTCTTTTTTTGCTAAGATTTAATTTTTTTTCTCGCGTTTTTTTTTAGTTTTATATGCATATTAACCATTAGTTTATCTTATACAGTTAATTATTTTAAGGTATATTAAGTATTAAATGGAAGTACCGGATAATTTCATGTATTTCATCAGCCATGCGCTGAGCGAGGTAATTCCTGTTCTCTGCCGCCTCCTCCATTCCCTTGCCACCTTTGAAACAATACATTTATTTTAAATAATTACTCTTATATTAAATCTTACATATTGTTTTAAATCTATTCATCATCAGCTCACTATACATCCCCACCGAGGGGCTCGGAGCCTACCCTAAGTTAAGGGTGATTAGGTCATAGTCAACCACGCTAGACAAGTGCGGGTTGACTTCACATATATCTTTGAATTACTTCTCAGATATGTGCAGCGTCACGATGTTTTCCTTCACCGTAAGAAATGGAAAAACACATTGGTACATGGCGGGATTCGAACCCAGGACCTGCAGATTACACGTCAAGTGCTTAACCCCTGATCCACCGACGCTCAAAGTTTATTATGTTAATATACTTTGATACTAATTTACTATTTATGAACACCAAAATATTTTCAAGCAGTTCTTTAGAAGCAATTGCAAATAAAAATGTACAAAATTATAAAGATTGTATGTACAGTTAGAGGTAGTACATACCTTCAGTAAGTATATGTATGTATATCTTCATGGCGCAGATGAGCACTGGCGCCAGCTGCTTGACACTCTCCAGACAGCGCGCCAGTGTCTCCGCGTGCGGCGGGTGTGTCAGCTCCGCCGCGCGGGATGCCACCTGACACCACACAATATCTCATTACCAACTTGCGAATTTCAAAAGTAGTCTTTGGAGAATTTAATAAAACTTAACAAAATTTAATTCCAGTCCAGCGATCGAATTCACCGATTAATTACAATTGAAAAAATATATAAAACCCACAATGGATTAAACTGTATATTCCAGTGTGGTTTTACATTTTACCAGATAAATATTAACGGAGAGTGCGATCACTGGACTGGAATAATGTAAATAGGACATTTCTCTAATTCTTCTAACAGTGTTGTATATTTTTTTTATTATTTTCTTTGCTTTTAATTATGTTAAAGTAGTGGTTTATGACGTGATTGTTGTTATATGTATAACACTAACCTCTCTGGCCGCTCTGGACAGTGCGGGCGAGATGTCACGTAGGAACTGAACTAGGTCTTCCATTGTATCTATCACCTCCGCAACTCCTAGATAATCGAGCACCTACAACATAAATTAAATCATTCATATTCAAATGAATTCTTTAATAAAATACTACGATTGTATTATAATTATTTGAACGTACCTTTTTGCACTCCTTAACAATTTTCCTGACTTCTGACTCATCGAAGCATAGCAGAAGACCTGATGTACCTTGCAGGATACCACGAGAGCCTTCGATCAATTTCTTCCTAAAGAGAATAAAAGAAAATATTTACTTTAAAATCTTTCAATCTTTAAAATATTTGATAAAAAATTACTACCAAAATTTACAATATTAGTAAACACCAAACTTTAAATATTTAGTTCTTTAAAAGTAGTTATATAAATTCAAGCAATTTTGGTCAATATCTCCATACATTTGTACTCCCAACAAAGTCTATATTGGTCAGTACCTCGCAGGTCCGGAGTATGGATCAGCGCGCAGCATGTCTGAGGCCTGCTGCAGCAAGGTCGCCGCGCCCTCCACACGTCGCAGCGCGCCCGGCATGTCCTGCCGGAGGATCGCGTCCTCTGACGACTCGATTGTCTCGTGACCCACCTGGTAACATCAATATCAATTTAAATCTTGAATCATCTATAGCTCAGTGATTAAGAGTACGTTCCAGATGGGGCTCTAGGTTTGAATTAATCCTTTCGTACATTAATTATTAATTTCTGATCTCTAATTCTCATCTACAACATAGAACATTATTAACTTCGATAAATAGCTATCAAATAATGTTAATACTTATATCTCAAGTAGGTAATCAAATTGAAAGATTCGTATTAAAATGTCGATTGTGTAAACCCACACCTACTTTAGTATCACTTTCGCCCACTGGGTCAATAACTTGTCTAACTATACCTTGACGAGATTGTTGACGGCGAGGGAGACGGCCTGCACGGGGCGCGCCAGGTCTGGCATAGCGTTGCCATCTTCTGCCTCCTCGTGAAGTATGACCAGCCGCGATACCTGCATACAAACATCATCATATAAGATTTACATACGGAAGGTCGGCATAGAACGTACTCTTCAATACCTCTTCATCTGAACTTACGTATATCCTTTTTCAAACAATCCATCTATACTTTTCCAAAATAATACAGTTATGTTAGCCTTTGACTGACCTTGAGATAGAAAGGAAGGTAAAGTACAGAATGTTGGTTACAATAATTAGAAGCAAAATCTATAGAGAATATTCAAGATGTTCGATTCCACTTTAACGAATATAGTTCCTATATGTTTGTGTTAAATATAATGCCAAGTGCAACGACCCGTAACTCACTAGCTCAAAACACGTCATCCAGTATTAATAACTATATGTACTAGAACCCTGACAACGTCTTGACATTATGACCTTAGATATTATTCTGGGTAGTAACTTTCGTGTTCGTGTTACAGTTTGCGTATATTGTTAAGATTATTTAAAGTAACTAGGGTTGCCACCTCAAATTATACGTCTCCACTAACGGGCTTGAAGCCTACCCTGAGTCAGGAGTGACTAGGCTATAGTCAACCACGCTGGTCCAGTGCGGGTTAACTTCACACATATCTTTGAATTTCTTCACAGATATG